GAGGCCGTGGGACGAAGACATGGTTGCTGGGTCTGGGAAAGGCTGTCGCTGCAAATACTCCCTGGGAGCAGGGCGCCCCAAAGGGGCCGATACAAGCCTCCCGCCAGAGTCTGGCTCAGCTGCACCGGCTGCAGGGAGCCACGGAGAGAGACAGAGATTGCTGGTGCCCGAAGGCCCAGTTTCGGTGTCATTGACTCCATGGACCTGCCCTGTGGTCCTTGGGGTCCGGCCTGCTACAGGGGTCACTCCCAAGGGACCGGTTACAGGCTGCGGCACAGACCAGACCCTGGGCATCCGTGACAACAGATACCTTCCCAAAGACCTCCCCACCCCCTGCTCTTCCAACTTCTGCACTGTGGCCTGGGGGGTGCTCGTTGGCACTATGATGGTGGCGGGGACCCCCAGCTTCCTGGCAGCGTAGGCCGTGGCGAAGCCAGCATTCCCCCCTGTAGGGACAAGGAGACAGGGGTCAGTGAAGAACAGTGGGGGCTTGGGGACCCCCCAGCGTGGCAACGGAACAATGATCCAGCGGGCTCTGGATTCGGGCCCTACTCGATGAATCAGAAACAGACCCAGGTCTCCACATCTGGGTCCCCGCATGGATGAGGGCTATTTGGAGTCAAGCTCCCCCGTACCAGGTAGGGAACCCTAAATCACAGCATGAGAACCCATGCTGCTCCCTTGACACAAAGATCGCAGCATCAATCGCTGCCCCCTGCTGGCTTCAGGGGCAGAGCTGGAAGCGGGCGTGTGGGGACAGGCACCCCAGGCGGGTACAGAAACGCGCAGTGAGCGGCACCAGCGCATTCGCTCCAGCCTGCGACAGAATCTGGACCAAGCGATTCAAATAAAAGAGCTCTGATGTGTCAACCTGGAGTGGGATCTAATCCCCAGCCCTCTTCAGTGACAGGTACCCGCTCTCCCTGGCAGAGACCAGGCCGGCAGTCAAAGGGAGAACAGGATTGTAAGATCTGTTTGCCAACACACAGCATAGAATAACCGGCAGCCTCTTTGGGGCTATTTCCCCTCGTGGATTTACAGACTCACTGGACTTTGGAACGAGCAAGCTCATGCCAGGCACAGTGTAATATGGACCGACTGATACAGGCCAAGCCCCCATGCCCCCCCCCCCAATATATCCTGCAGTCAGACTGAACTCGAGTGCAGGGAGCGTGGTGGCTAGCGCGGCTGAGAGGGTGAACGTCCGGCTTTCCACCCTTCAGATGACTAGTCGTTTCTCTGTCCCTCTGTAACCCCAGACCGACTGCTCTCGGTTTACTGCTGAGGCTAGAAACGCTGAGTCATGAGACTGCGTCGAGACACAAACATTATGCCCAGAAATGATCCACTGCATCATTTCACACCGCTTCCCTCTCCTTGGGTTCCTGGCTAAGTCCCAAATGTGTCTTCTGGCCTGGATTTGAAAGGCCGGATGCCCTCACCTGGGCCTTGGCAGGGTGAGAGCTGACGTCCCACTTCCCCTGTGCTTTAAAGAAATCTGCATCAGTACCCCAGGGAATGCCTGGGTCACCTCCCCAGGGATCAGGTGATGGAGCAGAACAGCCCTGTCTTGCTAAATATCCCAAGGCAGAAGAAATAGTTCGAAGTAAATTTACCTGTCGAACAAACAAAATGTTTGCAGCCCTTCTTGGCAGCCTGAAAGAGAAAGTAGAGCTTGGAATTCACGTAACTCACTTCTCAGGGCTGGGCCTGTACATCAGCCAACACAGTTTGGAGGTAAAATTAGCGATACAATTACAGCTATAATACTGCAACGTCAGGAATACAATTTGGACTACACACACACACCCGAATGCATTCTGTGCCATATACATACACGTTGTCTGCACCACCACATACACACAGCAGTGTATATTGCACCCATACTGCACACACATACACACTAATGTTTCTGCACCATTTTGCAAGCACATACAAGTGTGTTTTGCACCCCCCTCTCCCCACACTAGTGCATTCTGCACCTCTAGGCACACACCAATGCATTTTGCACCACCCTATCCACACACAAAAATGCACACAGCCATCTTCTGGGCATACTCACGGCACATTGTGTCAGTCACCAAGCGCCTCAAAACATCAGAAGAGCAAGGGCTAACGTCCCAATGCTGGGCTCACCTCCTGACAGAAGTAGCCAATCCCCCGAATCTTGAACGAGCCGGTAGGTTGGACATTCTCCAGTTTCATGTAGACCCTTGTGCCTGCAGCCTTGGACAGGGCCGTGCTTTCCAGCACAGGAGTGAGGATGTGGAACCCTCTCCCATCTCTGTCCAACAGGGCTGCCATCCGTGTCAAAGGAAACACCTAAAGTACAGACAAGGCATGTCCCAAGGCAATGAGACAAGGCAAGAGATACCAGAGGCCAAATCCTACTCTCAGTTAAATCTGGAGCATTTCCACTGATTGGAAGTTAATGGATGGGCCATCCCTAGACATTGTGGTGCCCTACACAGGCCGCCTCCTCCCCCCCCCTCCCCCGCGCGAAGGGTGGCTGGCCTCAGGCCTCCGCGGGGGGCGGCACCCAAGGTCTGTGGGGGCAGGAGCAGGCTTGGGGGACAGGGGAGAAACTGCCTCCCAGCACGAGCCGGCGGAGTGGAGCGGGTTAGGGCCGGCTCGCTCCACTTCCTGCTGCCCGGTGATTGCAGGGTGGGCCCGACCCCGCACTCACAGGGTGGCGGGAACTGGAGTGACCCAATCCCAGCCCACTCCACTCTGCTTCCCTGGCTCCCAACTGTGGGACTTGGGGGGCAGGGGGAACCGCCCCCAGCACTCACCGACGGCGCAGCTGGGAGCTGGTGGAGCGGAGCCAGCTGGGGCCGGGTCACTCCACTTCCCACCGCCCGGTGAGTGCAGGGTCGGGCTTGACCCCTACTGCAGTCCCCCGGGACATAGCTCAGGGGAAGAGGTGGGGCGGAGCAGGGGTTTTTCTGGCCAGCTCAGCCGGCCAGGGGATCGGGCTGGCCGCTGGAGCAGCACGCAGTTGCAAATTGGTGCCCCAAATTTCCTAGTGCCCTACGCAGCTGCGTAGTTTGCGTATGGGTAAGGACGGCCCTGGAACTACCCTGGATTTGCACTGGCGTAGTGAAGGAATCCAGCCTTTCATGCCACGCATGCATAAGGCTGCAGGGAAAACCTAAGAGGCCAAAATCTACTTTTTTTGCCCAGGGAACCAAGTATGTAGGAGCAAAATGACTATTACCACAATACAAGGGCTTTGTCCTTGCACAGAGGTGTTGTTCCATTCTTCAGAGGGTCCGTAGGTGCCGACTCCATGGGTGCTCCGGGGCTCAAGCACCCACAGGAAAAAAAACAGTGGGTGCTCAGTACCCACCAGCCACAGTTGTTCGGCAGGGCCGCCAATCAGCTGTTTGGTGGCTGGCAGGAGGTGCTTGGGGGAGGGTGTAGACAGTGAGCAGCGGGCGGGGGCCTGAGGGGAGGGGGCGGGAAGAGGTGGAGCAAGGGCAGGGCCTTCGAGGAAGGGGTGCAGTGGGGGCAGGGTCTCGGAGCACCCTCAGGGAAAAGTAAAAGTCAAGGCCGATGAGAGGGTCTCTTTGCATGGGTTAGAGTTGCAGGATCTGGCGCCAAGGGAAGGATATGCCTTGCAAGCTATTTGCAAGGACATCTGAATGGCTGAAATTGGAACATTTTTGCAGTTCATTGCCAAGCTGAAATCCCCCCCCCCCTTTTTTTTTCAAAAATGCCAAGAGTGAGCTATTTTGAGTGAAAAAGAGACTCTGTACTTGAGCCAAATTGCTATCACTGTAACAACATGGCCTTTGGTGATTTTGCATGGCTTTTGCTGCTTTAATTTTTTTTTTTTTTTTTTTTTGTTAAAGCAACAAAGGACAGCACCACCACAAAAACGGATGAAATCAATACATCGTGGAAAATGTCATGAACAAACTGCTTAAGAAATTGTCTGCCATTTGCCTAGTAATTAACAGAACCCAGCTATTCTTGCTCCAGAAGCAAAACCTCTTCCCACTTGAGCTAAAATTCAAGGAGACTCTTCTTTAGCGAAAGCAGTATAGGACATATGACACACAGTTACGCAAAAATTTTGATATCATGCAGTAGAGGACAGTGGTGACACCTGGACACTAGTCTGCTTATTACCATGTAAAAGGTAAAATAAAATTCTTCTCTTTTGGGGGAAAAAAGAACATTTAACAATTATTTATTGCAGTTCCTCTGGATAACTGCATTGACATCAATAGTCAGTAAGTTCTTTCTTGGCTTTCTTTACTCAGGTGGGACCAGACATTTGGCTATTATAAATCAGCAGAGCTCCATTGACTTCCATTGTGCTACACTGATTTACGCCAGCAGAGGATCAGGCCCGCGTTCTTTCCAGATCCAAGCATCCTGCACAGAGCACGCCCGGGTGCCCAGTTCACTTCCACTGAGACAACTGCCTCACTACCGGCCAGGGAGATCTCTCCAACAGCTGGGGCATTTAGGGCCTTAAGGATCAGACCTAGTACTTTAGGCTTGCCCCAGAAATCACTCAGCAGATCTCAGAGGGTGGGTGTCGTGGGCTCCCTGCACTAGGCCCCGCTAACCGCAGCTACTGTGTTCTGTGCTAGCAGCAATTTCCCAGTGGTCCTGATGTGCAGCCTCGCAAAGAACCCCTGGCAATGATGGCGACAGGAAGGAACAAAACCTAGGGATGACTAAGCGTGGCGAGCTCCCCCGGCCGAAGGAAAGGACTCAACCTCTGGGCGAAGTGCTGATAATAGGAAACACACATCTCGGCAGCCGCAAACTGGGAATCCAGCAGTAGCTGGGGATGGAACAAAGTGCCAAACCGCGGAGACAAGTGATAGACACACCCTGTCAACCATGGGCGCTGCTACCATCTCTGCAAGTTCTCCTGGCACCTTCATCTGGTTCATCGCTAGCCAGCTGCTCTCTGTTAGACACGGGGGGCCTGAAGCTCAGTCAGTCCGTGCCTACTCTGCGGGCAGGAATGGGGCGGGGAGGAAAGAGATTTTAACCATCTTTGTGGATCCTTTAACCATCCATGTTTCTGGGGGTTCTGCCGGACCCTGTCCAGTCGCTGGTGTAAGTTAGAGCAGAGAATAATACAGTGCACGTCAGCCATGCTCCCTTTCTGTCTCTAACATGCCCTCTATGGCAGGAGCTGGAAGTAGGGTCATTGCAGAGCTCTCACACTACTTCCACATCAACGCAGGAGAACCTCTGCACAAGGGGGTGTTTCATTCCTTGCCCCCTTATGCTGCCAAGAGGGCACCGGGGGCATTATTATAACGGAGAGTTGGACCTCAAGCAAGCCCCTCCGATGCACCTTGAGAATCAGAAATCTGTCTGGCTATCTAGCCCGTCACCGGAGTTATTAAACACGTTGCTGAGCGTGACAGCACTGCTGCAGAACAGGGCACCAACTCCCCACCCCTCTGTCCCTGCCATTCCCTTTTGAAGATTCTTGGGCCCCAATCCTCAAAGGTAGGTAGACACCTAAATCTCTGTGAGGCTCTGGGCCTGTCTGAATCCACGCTGGATCCCTTCTCCTGACCCATTCATAGTCCCCAGGCAGTTTGTTCAGAGCGCACACTCCTGTGAAAGCTAAAAGATGGCCATTGCTAGCCGCACGGCTTCAGCCGACGTCACCCAGGGATCGAGGGCAGCTGCGGTCAGAAATGGGGAAGTCTTGAGATCAGAACCTTTGACCAGTTGTCAAAGGCTTGACCAGCCCGAGGGCTGAAGAAAGAGGCCAGAGTTCACTCACTCGTTTATTATTTACTGACGCGGAGTGTGATCCCGGCACATATGCACGGCCTACATGCACCTAGGGAAGTGCGTCAGACTCATTCAAGGGTTAACGGGTATAAACAGATAATCTCGGCCTAAACTGAAAATATTATCTCCCTAAAAGAACAAGGCTATGTCCTTAGCAAATCCCTTTCGAGTGAGACACGCCCCCTGCATGCAAGGACAGGATTGGCTCCCGGACCTCAACTCTCCCCAGCCCTCTTAGCGATGTCCTCAGCAGCTTTGCCTGTCAGTTGGGTTGCAGTGACAGGCCTGCCATCTGCTTCGTATTTGGAATACTTACCTTGATTCTGGCTGGGATCTCTTGCCTCCTTGCCACAGGCCCGAAAGGCGATGCCCTTCCCCACGCATGCAGATGGGGAGGAGCCAGTGATTCCAAACTGCAACCAGCAGAGCAAAGTTTAAGAAATGGAGGCGGGGAAACGGAGTGCATGAGAGTTACATTAAAGAGACCCTGGCATCTTGACGAGCCCACTTCTGTCCAGACAATGTTTCATGGGCTGTTGTTGCAAACATCACCGACTAAGACAGAACTGGACAAGATTAGAGAAGAACAACAGATTACACTCTCTTCTCCAGTCCATTTACTTGGTGTTTTGCATGCTGTCAGTTTCACTGTTTAGTCAGGGTAACATTTTCCAAAGCACCTAAGTGACTAAGCTGACAAAGCCCCATTTCCACAAGTGATTAGGGACCACATTTTCCATGTTATTAGGTGTGTAACTCGGTGTGCATGGGGCAGCCCGCACTGAAAACGCCAAGGTCAGGGCAGGCTGCGAAAAGGAGAGCAGATTCTCCCAAAACTGGTGGTTAACACTGAAGTTAAACTCACCAACCAATTGTGTTTCTGATCCCCCCATGCTGGTTATCAAGAAGCAAAAAAAAATAAAGGAAAAAGAAACCACACAGCCCCCTTTATTGCATTCCAGTTCTCTGGTTCCCAGTCAGCACCTAGGTCCAGTACAGTGAGAAGTTATTTGAATACAAAGTGTTCTTCTGAACCCCAAAGGGCCGTCAATATTAGGTTGGATCTTACCCAAAATACCACACTGCCAGCCAATCCTTTAGGGTCTAAAAAAGAAAGAACAAGAAAAGAGCTGTTAAATGATAAAGCATTTAGATACATACAGAGACTACAAAGAGCATAGATCAGGCTCTTAGCAGTATCGAGTTTGCTGGCTTGAAAGTCTCTCTGAACACATCCACAGCTGGGATGGGTCATGCAGTCCTTTGTTCAGAGCTTCAGTTTGTAGAAAAGTTCCTCCAGAGGTAAGAAGCAGGAATGAAGACAAAATGGAGATGATGCAGCCGCCTTTTTATATCCTTTGCCAATGTGGCTTGTACTTCCTGTGTCCTCCCAAACACAAGCTTCACAGCACATGGCATGGAAAAGCCTTAGAGTTCTGTCCATAGGCCTGCCCCTCCATGCCTTGCCTTCTCTCAATGGGTCTTTGCCACCTGCTGTACTGGGGTTCCACCAGCCTGGGCTCCCTCACCATGTCCTGCTGCCCACACCCACACCCACAGGAGGGACACACCCAGCTGTAGAATCACAGAGTCCGCAATCAGCTCTGTGTAGAAAGACTCAGCTCAGGGATCGCCCTTGCACTCAAGTACACACACTCTCTGGAATGCAAACCCAAAATGATATTGTCTGGCGCTGTGTAGCGATCTATACAGCGTCAGCTCGTGAAATTGGCTCCCTCCCTCAATGTGGAGGAAGATACTCACAGCTTTTTGCCACAAACTGGGTTTTAGAAAACAAACAAGTTTATTAACTACAAAGGATAAATTTCAAGTGATTATAAGGGATAGCAACAGATCAAAGCAGATCACGGAGCAAATAAAACAAACACGCAACTTAAGCTTAATACACTAAATTAACTGGGTAATAGAAGCAAATTCTCACCCTAAGTGTTGTTTTGTGCAGGTTGCAGAGTTTCTTGATGGTAAACTGCATTGTCTGCAGCTTAACTCTCCAGGGATTCCTTTCACAGACAAGACCTTTCTCGCCTGGGCTCAGCCCCTGCCACCCCCAGCTTAGTTCCTTTGTTTCTTCAGGTGTTTTCATCAGTCTTTCTTCTTGGGCGGGGAGGCAGTGGAGAAGACCCAAGATTAACTCACTCCCCAGCCTTAAATAGGAGTTACATATGGTGGGAATCCTTTGTTTCCCAGTTTGACGCTCACCCCCTTCCAGTGGAAAAATACCAGCAGATCAAGATGGCTTCCTGTACTAGGTGACATGATCACATGACCCTGCAGTGTCAAAGCAGCATCCCAGGAAGGTGGGAGATTAGTATCTTCAAAGTCCTATTGTCCTTCCTAATGGCCCACCCAGGCTGATTGTCTACTATCCGGTGAGCGTTCCCCAGGTGCAAGCACTTTTGTAATTGCTACATAGTCCATATTCCTAACTTCAGATACAGAAATGATACATGTATACAAATAGGATAATCATATCCAGTAAATCATAACCTTTCCAATGATACCTCACATGACCCATCTTGCATGAAACGTTTCTTAGTCATGCCATATTCATATCATAACAGTATTTCTATGAAGAATATGGGGCGTAATGTCACAAGATCAATTGTATAGTTGATGACCCTTGATGGGCCATCGAACAGGCTAGGCAGTGCTGATGCCAATCTGTCTGGGGGTGTCACCCAGAAACACAGCACAAGTTTGGAAATACAGATATACCCTACATAGCTATAACAAAGGTGATACAAACAAGATGATCATACGTGGCAAATCATAACATCTTTATAGATACCTTACATGGCATATCTAGCACGATTCATTGCAGTTTTATAATATTGGTACTAATAATATCATAATGTGTTGCACATATTCCGTACAGCGTCACCAGGCACCTAAAGATGCAGATAGGCACCTAAGGGAGTTTTTTGAAAGCATTGAAATCAATGGGAGTTTGGCACCAGCTGCTTTGGACTATCCACTAGGCACTGATCTGGATTTTTTGGTGCCTAAATACCTAAAAATCTGGCCCTCAGGACTTTCAGGGAGACTTAGGATCCTATCATTGCAAGTAATACATTATAAAAACAGATGCCCAAGTCATTTTTGAAAATGGGATTTCATCTCCTAAGTCGCTTAGGTGCTTTTGAAAAATATCACCCTCTGTTTCTCCTCCTGTTTGGGTCTTTCCTGCAGCGGCAAGGGAGAGGGAAAACACAGAAAAATATGGCTATAAATTAGCACAGAGGAAGGGATGCTTTGGGGGCAGATGTAGCACCAAAAACGACTTTGAACTCATTTTGTGAAATTAACCAGATTTCAGTTTGACAATCCCTCGGCAGCCATGTGTGGTCCATGTAACTGTCCCCCTGCAATCCAAGGGCCACTCCTGATTTCCACAGTCTGGCCTAATTCCTGCAAGCCAGGCATTGCCAGAAAGTTCATAAAACTCTGGGTTTAGTTTGGAGCTTGTGACACTAAACTAGGATTCATCTTCACAGCATCATGATGCAAAATCGCCATATGAGTAAGCAAACATCATGGCATCGTGCTGCAGTGACAGACAATTGCAACCGGATTATTTTGCTCCATTAATAAATAGATGGCATTCCCTGTCAGGGCATCACAGTATTTTCCAGTCCTCATGCCCCTGTGAGCCTAGCTGCTTTGCCAGGCATGCACCAAACAGCCATGCAGCTCCAAAGAATTTCCTCAACAATTCTAGGAACTTTAACCCCTTCACGGCTGGGTCTCCGTCCTTCCTGCTGTCCAGCTGTTGTTCTATTAACATACCATGGGACTATTTAGATAGTGGGATGCACTTCCCAATATGTTCAGGAACTGAGCAGGTGCCTCCCAACAGATATCTCTGGAATGTTTGGCTGCACATAAATAAACTAAAATCCATAACCGGGGTGTGGTGCATGTACATTCACGAAGGCAAAGAGAGAGCCACGTGTGCAAACCCCACGGACGTGCGCATGCCAGAGAACTTGGTGCGCAAAACCTGCATTTGTGTGCACATGCAAAATGCAGGGAAATGCTTGTGCACGCATGCACACGTGCAAACTTACATGCAAAAGCCACACACAGCCATGCCAGCTAACACAGAGTTGCTCGGCAATATGCACAAGCAGATGCCTCATTTGCTGGTGCCGCTTAAGGACTGAGGTTTGGAAATTTAGCTCTGAATGCTGCCAAGCTACAGGGTCCCTAAATCCACTTCCTGGCCCCCAGCTGCGGGCATTCCCAACAATGGGCAAGTTGAGGGCGTCAGCTCAGTAGCCAAAGACACAGACCCTGCTCTGCTTTGGGAAGCGTGAAAAAAACAAGAGCACCACACAAGCTCAGCGCGGCAGCAGGGTCTGACTGATAGTTGGAGGGGCAGGTCTGAAGCAGGGAGGGAGGGATAATGTACAGTATAACTAGGGTCTAGGTGCAGGTTAGTTGTTTGCACAATAATGCTTCAGTCTGCACCATTCCCACAACTGTACTTGGACTCTACAAGAGCTGCGTTTTATAATCAGGCCCAGTGCATCAGGCTGGGTGCATCCAGATTTCCTGAGCTGCAAAGGACGGGAGTGGTCATTATCTTTGCAGCCAGAGTACTCGTGGTTTTGGCCTGTCGTTGTCACATACCTCAAACAGAACGTTAAGATTTTCAGACTGATCAGACATGCACACGAACCGTCCATCTTCTGATAAAGTAAAAGATGCTTGTGCATTTGTGTGCATACATGTGCGTGTGCATATATGTTACTTGTGTGCACATGTGTGTGCATGTGTATAGGTAGGTAGTGCATGTGTGGGCATCCACAGAGTGCAAGCTGGTGGTTGTATGTGTGCATATGCATGAATGCGCCTTTTGTTCGTGTGTGTATACATATATTTATACCATCATCTGTGGGTGTACATGTATGTATGTGTAAATTTGTGTGCATACATATTTACATGACTGTGTATGTGTTTATGTTTGCAAGCACATGAGGGCCCATATGCATGTGTGTGGATACATATATGTGTGATCATTTGTGCATGGATGAGTATGCATGTGTATGTCAGCACATGTATGTTAATATGTGCAAATACATGTGTGTCAGCACCTGGGTTCATGTATGTGTAACAAATCAAGTGTTGTGTAGGGGCTTGTCTACGCGGGGAAGTTTTTCCATGGTAACTTTAGTTTACTCAGCATAAACTGCCTCGCAGCCACACACAAAGTGCTGTTTTCAATTTATCTGGAGTCTTGGCCCGCTTTAATC